TAGAAACTTAATCAACAAGTCAACCACATATTGATAGCTTGCAGAACAAGTTAATTATGTGGTGCACATATAGAAAACTTGTCTTACAAGTTAAAATATGTGTCTTATAAAAGCCAACACGTTTTTGGAGGTGCTATAGGATATCACCATATAGCTCTTAATTAAGAGTACATATAGAAGCAAGAGTGAAGCCTTCTTCACTCTTGTCAATGCCTTCATACTCTTTAGTCTTATTTTAAGACTTTCTAATCTTCTTATTTTTTGAAATAGCCATGCTAGTTTAATATTATATCACCTTTTGAAAAACTTTCTAGTTCTCTTCAAAGACATAAGAATATATTGGAGATTTTTTTTCTTCGAGATTCATATCCTTGACACAATATCACCTCTGCTTTTTTTCATTCTCAAAAATCTTATGGCCAAATTATTTCTAAACTTGGCTGCAATAAAGCTATCTTTTCTAAGCTAGCAAAAAAGATCACTTTTAATAGGAAGAACCTTAAATTAGATAGACCAAAGAAACTCACTATATTCCATGAAAGGATAATAATTTGCCAAATCAACACTAGGAGGCTAAAAATGCTATTGAGGTTGCTATAAACCTTAATAATATTATCAGTAATCTTATATCAACTCTAACTATTCAAAATATTTTCAAGAAATAGAATATGAAAGATGTGGTGAAGAAGAAAAACCCACTATTATCTATCCACTATCAGAAAAAATGCTTGAATTTTGCTTTGAAGTATAAAGAATAGACTATAGAAGATTGGAAGAGGGTTATTTGGTCAAATGAGACAAAAATCAATAGATTTGGATTAGATGGCACAAAGTGGGTGTAGAAATAAAAGAGTTAGTTCTTGCTTGATAAAAAAATCAAAGAAACAATTAAGCTTAGAGGTAGAAATATAATAGTATGGAGTTGTATGGAATAGAATAGAATTGGGAGGATGGTAGAGGTTGAGAGGAGGATAGATGCCGAGCAATTTGTCGAAATTCTTGAAAAAAACCTACTCCCTAGCATTGAAGAATATAGTATTTCTAAAGAACGGTGATTTTTTTAGCAAGATAATAATCTCAAGCATAACTCAAAACTAACATAGAAGTGGTTTGATCATCATGGGATTAAAGTAATGGATTGGCCTACTCAGTTCCTTGATGTTAATCTCATTGAATATCTTTAGAAGCACCTCAAATGCCAACTCAATACCTAGAAGATAAAACCAAAGGAAGTTTGAAAATTATGAAAAATAATAGGTGTGGAATGGAATAATATTGAAGCAATTTTATACCAAAATTTAATAGAAAGTATGTTTAAGAGGTTAAAAGCATTTATTAAGGCCAAAAGATGTTCTACAAAGTATTGATATGTAATTGGATACCACACTCAAAAAAAATGTTTCAATATTGTTCTAAATTGGATTGGTCATATCTCCACAATTATCTAATGGATTCTTTTCAACCTGGGCTCATTTGGTAGCCATAAAAGAACACTTTATTTACTGTATAAACCACATGTCATTATTCACTACAATTCATCTGTAATATGCCATTATTTCTAAAATATGTCAATATTAAAAGAGTTTTTTGAATCACTATATATATATATATATATATATATATATATACACACTTATATTTGAATGAATAAGCAAGTCTTTTTTGTTGATCTCTTTGATATTTAATCATTAATTATATATTTGATAGAATTTCATTGTTAAAATTATAATAAGATTTACAATAAGTAAAATTTAAAGAGTAAAACAAATAAAAATATAAAATCTTATAAAACTCATAAAAAATATATTTTAAGTCTAATAATTTTTTGTGTTTTTATTGGTTTTTTTTTTGGAATCAATTTAGAATTACATTTAAGGCTACCTCTAATAAAAATGCCTAGTCTATAACACATATTCTACTAAATTAATTGTAAGAGAGATTCTAATCAAAGATTTTACTTGAACCTAGAATTTCTTTTACTGTAAAAAAAATAATAAGAAAGATCCTTATAAATAAAAATTCATATATATATATATATATATATATATATCTTTTAATCTTGGATCTATAATTTTGATGTTTAAGCTATTTAGAATTGAAGAAACAAATATTAAAAAAATTATATTGATTGATATATCTCATTAGATTTTTGTATGTGATATTCCTAAACAAGACTTTAACAAGCTTTTGATAAAAATAATTTGAAATCAAGTAAGATCACAAAAATAAAAATAATCAAAAAACCAATATCTAATATATTATGCTTAATTTATTATAACAAATAGCCTTATCTATAAAAAATTGATTATATTAATATTAATATATATATATATATATATATATATATATATATATATATATATAATCTTATATAAGTTATTTATGGATAAAAAAGAAAAATAAAAAAGATAAATTATAAATATATATTTTATATAAATTTATTTAATAAACAAAGACCAACTTAATAACAACTATTGAGAAATAAGATCAAATAAGTTGGATACAATTGAATATGCAATTTAAAAATAAACTGTCTTGATATGGATTTCTTAGAAACTATAATCAACAAATACATAGCCAATCAATATTATTATCACAAGTCATTAATTTATAATTAGTAATCATAATTTTATTAGATATTAATTATAATATATCAAATAAAATAAATATTCATATATTGTCAAAAGCATTAATAACCTTAGTATAATCTTCATGTAAAATTTTATTAAAATATTGTGTAAATGTAATATTTTAATTTTTTAAGAACATAAATATATGACATCTTTGAACATGAATTAAACAATAATCAAAGGCCCCATGAATATTTTTTTATAAATGCAATTTTAGATTATATTTAATATTTAGATTGAAGTTTTATTATTAAAAAAAAAAAAAAAAAAAAAAAAATCAAATCTAGATTTCTACATTTTAATTATGTTAATACCAATATTTAATTTTAATATTTAAAAAATATTTATAATTATATGTTTATTATATAAAGAAATAATATGAAATAAATTTTGTTTGAAACTATATATATATATATATATATATATATATATACATATATATATATAACTCTATATGTATATATAACTATATACATATATATATATATATATATATATATATATATAATAACTTTTTAGAGTACTGAACTTTAAAAATATTATTTTTAAGAGGGTAGTTGAAAACAATTTATTTCAAGTCATTATTAAAATTTTCAAACACTATTTAAATATAAGTAGACTTAATTGCTCATAAAATGTCACTATAGACTTTTTTTTTGTTTTTTTGTTTGTTTTGTTTTGTTTTGTTTTGTTTTTGTTTTTTTTTCTAAAATCATTTTATTAGGAAATTTTTTTCTATTGCAAAAAAAAAGAACTTTGTAATAAAAGAATTGAAAAATATTATCAATATGTTGAGCTTTTGGTATATTATGACTCTAGTTATACTAGCTTGGTATGTATATTTTAGGTAATCATAAATCTAAAAGATGTCATGACTTCACTTCAACGTAATAAACTATAGTAGATTTTTAACAATTCAAATTTATTTTAAATTTTTTAAATATTAAATATTATACTATATTAAAAATGAAAAAATGGCTTGACTTGTCATATTCTCTTTTTCTTTTTCTATAGAACTAAAAGTCTAAGTTCAAAAATAGATTTGATATTAGTTAAGCCTAATAAGAGATGATTCAATTTCTTTATGTATAATAGAATTACATTATGATATGTTTATTTATTAACCATCAAATGTAGAGGCCAAAATATAATTCTAAGGTAGTGAAATTATTATATTATTTAATAGAATTTCTTGATTTGATCTTATAATATATAAGAAAATAATTTATATCATATATAAAAAAACCAAGAAGCCACAAATGATCACTTTTACATAAATGAATTAGGACTTCGCAAAAATTACATTGTAAGATAGTTTTTAAAATAAACATAAGTTTGATTAATCTTTTGTAGAATTTAAATTTCAAGCACAAAAAGAAGTTAGGTTAACATAAATGATTGGCACACAATTATTAGAATAAATGTATAAAATATATATATACATATATTCAATTAGACATTTTTCCAAGTTTCCAATACTGCAATCTTGCTATGTAGAAGATATGAAGAATGCACATAGTGTTAGCAATGGCATATATGCACTTTATGGTTGTGGGTCACAAAATATAGAAAATACATGAAACACACCCAAGTAATTATAATGCAAAAACCAGGTTTCACAATTAACTTTTTTCAATCAATGGGAAAACTCCTGAATGGCTAGTTCCAAGGAAGACAAGTTGAATTAGATGAAATTGTAAAACTCTCAGTAGACAAGGCCGTAGTGTCTGTCAAGAGAGTTACCTTTTCGGCGGCATATTCTTCCCACTAGAATTGAAACATAATTTTCAGAGGGTTGGGATTGGACATGAATGTATAGAAATTTGATCTTTTCTTCAGAAAACTCAAATCAGTTAATGCAAAAGTCTATGACTCAGTCTGGAATTTAGAACTCCCTACACAGGCCATTGTCACTGCAGCTCCTCCTCAATTCCCGTACCTGAAGCATTGGCATCACACTGGCTCCACTTCCAAGGAGCGGGCACATGATTATTTGCACTGTCCAAAACAATCATCGTGCTACTTCCACGAAGGTTTGCCAGTGACACCGACAATCCCGCTCTTTATCCATCACGGGACATAAGGAGGAGTTCAAAAGGTGCTGAACCCTTGCAGCTAGTAAGAGCTGCAACCTCGCGAACAATAACAAGGGCTAAACGATCACAAGCAGACGAACCGACTCCTACAGAAATTCTCATTGTGAACTCTCCGATGGGCATAAGGTGGAATGTACGCGTCAAAGATTCCCAGAAGTGAAAATCAATACGGTTAACAAAGCAGGATAGTTAAAAGCGCTATCATTGGCATGAATTCTGATGATGATTAAATTTAATAGCCCAATCCAAGAGAATCACCAAAGACGAGAGCACATTTATCAGGTCTACAACGAAATTTCTGCGCAACAATCTTTTTTCCATCAAAATTGAGTCCTTGTAATATATTAGCCACAAAGAGGCATACACTGGAAACAAGATTAGTGGGATAAAGACCTAAGACGCGTAAGTAATGGGTGCCAAAGTTTCTTGAAGAGAGCCGAGCTGCTCCTCGACACGCTTGGCAGCCTTGAGACGCAGCTGGAGGAGCTGCTTCTTGCGCTGGTAAAATACCTTGGACTTGGCCTTCCTCTTCTCCTCCAACTCTTTGATGGTATCGTAATGGTGCCATCCAACCTCCTCGGACAAACGGCCCAACAAACAGAACTTGTGTCCAGGTTGCAGCCTCAGTACCCTGTTTTGTATGAAAGTTAGTACCTGAGAACTTCTATGTTGAAATATAAAGTCGCATGTGCTGCTTAGTTACGGAATTACACTGTAGGAGTACAGACCAATTTGATGCTTAAAGCAAATAACTTAGAACGCCATCTTTAACTTTACCAAGTGAGATCATAAATATTATGAGAGACTCACTTGAGAGCGTCCGGAATAACCATCCTCTTCATCTTATCGTAAGGTGCAGGAACTCCTTCGAAGGCCTTCAGGCGCTCAAGGGCAGCAGCTCCTCTCTTGGTCTTGTGCGGAATCATACTGCAACATGGTCGGAGTTGATCAGAACCCGAAGGTATCTTTGGTATGAAAATAAAGATAGATTGTTCTGCCTCTTACTCTAAATCAGGAAACTAATACTCAAAACACGATATTCAACTTCTTTAGTAAATCCATTTGGAGTGGAGACCGCAGTGGCACGTAGCCCTGGAACAGGATATCTAGCACTGTAACTGACCAGGTGCCAAATGCACAGCTACAAATTAGGACCAGGGACATTTCAGCTGGGGGGGGGGGGGCCGGAGAAAGAAACCGATCAGCGAAGGGAAACTGACAAGGTCGAGGCTATCGACTGCTAGTCCTTGCCAATATTGCGAACATTTCGACGTGACGTACTACAGCTACTATAAAACTTATCGATTCATGAGACTAGCTCGAGTGGTTATCCACTCGATTGCGACACAAACAAGTGCCACGAATTATCAAGCCAGACGTGAGGTCTAACCAGACACTCATAGATTTCAACATTGTTCGTTAATTATGAAGAATCATTAACACTTCACTTTCCAACCGATATTATTCGAATTCAAAACCTCGAGCAAGACCTCGGTCGTTTGCTCTACAGATATACGTAAGCCGTAAAAAAAAAAAAAAAAAAAAAAAAAAAAAAAAAAAAAAAAAAAAAAAAACGGCATTGCCAAGAGTTCTGATCATGGAATGGACTCTCACATAGAAAACCCTAATGAATATTCTGATTACACAAAACCCTAATAGGTCATGTACCATCGATAAACTAACCATCAAGGTGCAAATAAATGTTCGTGCAAGCGATTCCATCTGCAAGGAGACACTTACCCGCGGATGGTCCTCCACAAGATACGTGCTGGGGATCGAAAATGAATCGGGCCCTTGCTGGGCTTGGTGTTCATCCTCTTCCTCAAAAACCTCAGATATTTCATCTTCTGCCTGACAAGACCACCTGACAGGCAGATCTCCTCGGAGCGGACGACAACCTGGTTCAAAATACATGAGAAACACAGTAACACTAACAACGGGAGAAAAAAACTCAGAGCGAAAAGGCAATAGAGGACTTACGACTTTCTGGCCATTGAGAAGCTCTTTGGCGAGGATTGAGGCTAAGCGGCCGAGCATATGGTGGCGGGCATCCACCACGACCACTTTGGCGCAGATGCCTGAGCCGGACACCATTGTTGCTGGCGCTGCTGCGACGCAAGAAAACACCTGCAAAACGCTACAGACCTCTGCCCAGAACGGAGTCCGCCGAGAGAAAAGACGTCGTTTCTCTGCTGGGCCGCTCTTCAACCTCACTCCCCAGCCCTAATTTCTCCGAGCCTCCAGCGCGAACCTCATTCTCAGTCCGAACCTACCAGCCCTGGTAATAATATGCTTCTTTGTTGACATCGTGCACAGAAACAAGGAATTTTATTTGAATTCCTTTTATATATTTTAAAAAAAATTAACTTTGAGGGATGTCTTCAATAAGAGTTTCGTGCTATTTTGGACGTGGGATCGATTGCGTTGTCGATGTACAACGTTCACCAACCATGTAATAGGTAATTATCCAAAGGATTTTTTGCGGGTTTTATAACATTCGAAATGAACATACTAGTTTTTAGAATAATTATGTATTTTAAAATCCACTAGTCGGTGGACTGTCTTTGGCGACATACTATCTCTTCAACACTCTTTCTTTCATTCTTCGTTGGTTTGTTAAATGTTGTTCTAGAGGAAAAAAATTGAGTTTAAAGTTCTAGTGTCATACTGCATGAGACAACTAACGAGAGACCTGCCATTCTTTCAATGTAAGTACGAATTCGGTGTCATGGAAATCATTATACAGCCGGTCTGTCATTGGAAAAATAGCAGTTTGCTTCACGCCTCGGAAGGATTCTAAACCAGATCAGTGTATTTGTATCATTGTTGACCGATGCTGTGCATTGCCGTTGACCTAGTCAGAGGCATTGTGTAAATTACTTGGGTAGAATTGAACAAATCAACAGCTGGTTTCTAGGTGTCCAGAGGAAATTCAGTTGCAACCGTAGGGAATGCAGAAACACACAAAGATTTGAAGTAATATTCAACAATGGCATTTGCAGCCAAAGTCTTCAGGGTTGAAAACCATAAAGAATTCTTGGTCACCAAAAGTGTTCTGAGAAACTGAAAGCTCTCGTCAACTGCCAGCAACTAAAGCAAATAACTCGCACACAAGCGGAGCATGCTGGTGTTGTTTTTTTACAGGGTTCAATACAACTGATCCCGGGGTTGCAATTGTGCAGGTCTAACGATTCAGCGTCTGAACTTACTCGTGAGTTTTGTAGTTCAAGGTGCAGCTCACTTGGGATTCTCTGATTGCTCTTTTTTTCTGAAAGAGCATCCTTCAGTCAAGCGAACTCTTCCTGCGGTGGGCGGGCACAGCACGGAGGAACAACCCTTGCAGAGTTATACAGTCTGGGAGTGGCTAAACACAGTTGTGCTGCACGATTGAAAACAACATACTGGGTTTAGTCATACATCATCCACGTAAAGGGCTTTAACCTAATCTAAGAGGAGGAACGCAATGCGTTGCAGGTATGAACAAAAATAGAAAACTACATGATGTGAAACTGGTTCGTATCATCTTTGTGAAAAGAGATTACTCTCGTCAGAAATTAGGATCATTGAATCACCACGAGAATGAAATCAACAACATTACTGGTTCCAAATTCCCGTAGTTTGTTCTTAGAGCGAATGCTGCCAAAGTTCTACATGCAACCACACTGGCGGCAGTGCTATTTCTGCTCCACGAAAATATCACCACCCAGGAAACATAATTGCGGTGCAGAGCCTTCAGGGCAGAACTACTTCATGAAACACAACATCATGGTTATGAAGGAGCAGGATTCCTCACAAGAATTCAACGTGCTGCTCCAGGCACACATCGCTGGAGCGCATACCTCAAACTGTCCTATTTTCGGCAAAGGAGCTCACAGTCGAGTACCATAAAGAAAGAGTTTGACGATGGGACAAGTCGCTTGAGCTTGTGCTGTCGCTTTTCCAAGTGCGGTGACGGGTGCCAGAGGTCGATGTCATTGGGGAGCACCATATTTGCTTTAGTGTTTGCGAGTAATTGTTCATGCGAGATATGGATTAGTGCATGGAGCAAGAGAGTGAAAGAAAGAGGGAGAGAAGGGGAATAACGAAGCAAAATACAACCAGCTGGAAGCTGCATGTTGCGTGGCATTATTCCTTCATACCCACCTGGGGTTTATACACTTTGGGTGCACCGGGTCCCCCTGGATCTCCCCAACTCGGATATGAAACACTTCATGCAGTTTCGGAGAGTTCATATTGTGATATCCTCATACCGCCATTGAACCAGATCCATGCAGTCAAGTAGAATTGAGGATTGTCACAGCCTGAAGAGTTTGGAAGTCCCAGTTACCATAAATTAAAGTTCCAGTTGCATTGGCGTAGGAATCTGTTCGCAAGAGCATCACAGGAGGCCCAGTGCCGATCGGTTGCAACGATATGCTAGTGATATACCTGTTGAAGTGATGCAGGGTTCAGGGTTTAGGGTTTAATGAAAATATTTCAAGGACCGCCCAGAAAAAAAGCCATATTCCTCTATCTCCGACCAATTTCCTGCTTGGAGAAGTAGACGCATCAGTTTTGCCGAAGTCACAAACTTTAAAATTTAGAGATCCCGTTTAGACAACCAATAGATCCAAGTAATTTAGTCTTGACATCCAGATGTGGAGAAATTTAGTTCGTTGAAGATACAATATTCAATGCTTACACTTGAATTGAGAATTGTGCATATCCTACGTTTCTAGTGTCAATCTTATATTCAAACAAGAGAAAATTCTTAATTTAAAAGCGGAACGATTTCTGCAAAGAATGAATGTTGTCAATGTTGTCACTAGTGCAACAGTAATTCGTAGACAGGCTGCTCTGAAGACATCAGGGAGTTGGTGAAAAGTGTCCTCCAATGTTCCTTTCTGTTATCAGAACATGAAATAGACTTGAATGAGGTCAATAATAAATATACACGAATCGTTACTCAAGTGACCGATCCTTGGTCTTATTTTCTCCATAGAGATCGTACTAGCCCAGTTCCAATACCTCCACTTCTCTAAAGCTGCTGGAAATTATCCGTCCGCAGTCTGAATTCAACTATACTGTCGAATCTGATTTTCTTTTCTAAAAGCCTATGAATTGAAAAGTACTAATATTTTTTCTCCTTTACTCCTAAATACGAGAACGAACTGATCTCCTGCCAAAATGTGAACCATGTCAATAATTACAATGTCGAAAGGTGATCCCCGTGACGTTTGCGTTGCGCGATAACAGAAAAAGTTGTTATAATTTTAGGTTCTCCGATAAAAAATTACTCCAGAAGAAACAGAGAAACATCTCCGAGTTTACAATCTTGTTGTGCCGCTCAATCTGCCTAGTTTGATATCCTGCTGGTGCGGTAATACCACCAGGAACGTATTTGCTGTTTTCTTTTGTTGTAGGGCTCCTACTCGTTCAAGCGCTTCATAATTTGATCGTAAGTTGTGAACATGATAGTTGCTGAAGGGGCAACCCAGAGCATGCGAGAGGTGATTCCACTAGTGAGACCTTTAACACCTTCATGCGCATAAATCTTCTTCGCAGCATCCCAGGCACCGCTGTACTGCTTGTTCTTCCCCTGAACTTGCAACCTCGTCTTGATCACGTCCTGCACAAATAGACGCTGGACTGAGGAACTGTAGAACAGGAAACCCATGAACTGTGATGTGAATATATACTAACTTCTCTAGAAACTAGGAGTTTGTTGGATACAAGAAGGTTATGTCCTCCAGTGAAAACTTACCATAGGATTTGTTAGTCCAGCGGCAAATGCTGAACTCACGAAGGCGCTTCCCAGCTCGTACTGTATGCCCAGCTTCTCGACTGATTCAGCACCGGACAATCTCACACATAATCGTTTGTTCGCCTCCCACAGCGGCAGGTAGACAGCGTTGTATGGACCCCACACCAACTGCGCTAATAGGAAGCCCCTGTACAGAGCTCCGATTCCTTCTTGTGCAACGATGGCCTTGACGGCGTGCACAGAACCCTGAACACGATACACAGCAGAAGCAACTGACGGTTAGAACGCTACCAATACGGGGATACGACTTAGTATTCTGTTCACGCTCACATTCAATCGGACAAGGTTGTGTGTGTGCGCTACCGTGTACGCGCCTTCTCCTCCAGTTTGAATCATCTGCCTCTGTCTAATGACTTCCACAGGCACCATAAGCGAGGATTGCACAAGCGTCGCAAGCACACCCCCTCCGAATTGCGTCAAAGGGTTGTCAGGTCCACCTGCAATATCAATCAGCAAATCGAGCTCAATCACAAAATTTCTTCGCAGGGTTTACGTGGCTTCAAGTGGGATCTCAGAGCAAGGGTAATATCGATCAAATGCTACCACAAACTTCAACGGTAAAAAAGTGACATTGCCAACAAATATAATAATAATAATAATAATAAAGGACAAGAACCACAGAACTCTTCACCTGGAAGATACCTCTTCGACGTTTGGTACGTTGCCATGTACATAGCCTGCGTTGGGGCAATTTGCGTCACAGTGGAAAATCCTTTGTACAGCGTCCTCAGACCCTCCTTGGTACCAATTTGGAACATGGCATCCAGGGGACCCTTGTACATGTACAATGCAGCAGTGCCGCTGCTGCTAGCGCCTCCTTGCACCTGATTTAGAACCGGACACATCTTTCTAAAACTCTCCGAACATTAACAAAAGAAAATTACCCAAACCCCAATACGCAAATACACAAACCGACAGGAATAGAATACAAGAAGAATGCCGGGAATCATACCATAAGCCTGGACTTGACTGTCATCATCGGGTACACTACTCCGTCCGCTAGCATGCCCGCCAACCCACCCGCCAACATCTGCTTCCGCAACAGCGTCCCGTAACTCGCATCCGCGGACGCTGCCATGTTGCTCTTGCCTCTCAACCCTATCTCACTCCGCACTCGTTTCTCCGTCAACCTCTCGACCACTTCACACCACACTTCGAGCTAAATTCGCAGCAACAGTAACGCCCAGGAACCGTAATCTACATGATACACTCTGTACAATCTTTTCAAGTCGGCACAACCAATGAGCCCTAAGAGAATCTGCGGAAAAGTTTGCAGAACACCGCGAGTGCTCCGAAGCTCGCCGACGGTCAACTGAAACATAAAACTTACTAACCTCGGCAGCAGAAACACTCAAGACAATGACAACTGGGGAAGAAAAATCGGATTTCTGCGAATGGGCATCACGAGCAGCACATGAAGTATTCACGTGCAGAGCTGCAAATCGACAATCTCGACCAACAATCGTTCTTCGTGATTCATTCCGTTACCGAGACGGGGCTCAGAGCTGATTCATCACCACGGGTGTTCGCCACTTGGCAGTAACCCAGTTAACCCGTCTCGTTGGCATATTTGGCGACGTGTGGCTCGAACACGTACACTGTCGCGGTGACCTGGATTTTATTGTGGCTTGAACGTGGAGTGGTCTGTTTGGACCTCAATGTATCCACCTCCGTGGGATCGTTGATGAATTCAATACTATTCCCATTTTTTTCTTGTTTGCTTGCAAAAGTTGAAATAAATGACAATGTTTCGTGTGGGAAGTGAATACAGGTCAAAATGAGTTACAAGTAAAAATGTGGCATGCTTGGATGTAAATTAAAGTTGGGTGGACCAATATCAATGCTCTTTCGCAATGAATGATTGATGTTTACACTTACTTTGTTTCATTATATGTTATATCATGATATTTTGGATAATTGGATTTTTTTTTTTTTTTAAACACTAATTTACTAGAATTGAGTAATTGTTTTGGCTTGGCATACAAGGTGAGAAACCACAACTTTAAAAAATCCTTTGATTGATTGAAATGTATATCAAAAGTTTTATAGATATCACTTAATCAAAGGAATTAAAAGTTATGGCCTTTCATTTTGTCTCCTAAATATATATATAAAGACTCCTTGAGCTACAAATTAAAAAGATATTTTTCAATAGTAAAATTTTCAATGTATTTGACAGGATTTGACTTAAACAGACAAAATCAAATATATTCAGTGTTTATTATCAACTTGATATTTATATACATGATAGTGATTTTTAAATTTTCCATAAATTTAGATCTAAAAGATGTTATTATTATTATTATTTTTGACTCATTGTCTTAAAAAGTCTTTAATACTATAACAAATAAATAGTTATTTTTTCAATGAATTAAAATTAAAAATCAAAGAATCAATTTTACTTTATAATATTAATTCTAAAAAATATAGTTATTTTAGTATTAAGAAAGCAGGCTAGATTATAAGATGAGTTTAATATTAATTATTTCAAAAGAATAAATCAAGCATATATTGTAATATTTTAAAAAAAAATTTATCATTATTTTTTTAATGTTGTAATTAGTAAAAATAAAAATATATAAAAATGTTAAATAGATATTTTAAATTAATTCATATAGTATTTTAAAATAATATCAAAATTATATATACATAAACTTTTGATTTTTTTAGTTCTTACTAATATTTATCATAAATATAAAAAACAAATTGTAAGTCATCCTACTTCTCAAATGATTGATGCTAGATTATTAAGTATGTTTTGACATTATTAGAATCCTTACTATTATTTTTTAATTTTAGAAAAATTAGACTTAAATAAACCTCACAAGAATTAATATACTTCAAATTTATATTCACTATTTTCATCAAATTTATTATAAAAATAAAAATAAAAATTTGATAAAGAAAATTTAATATTTTAAGATATTTTGATAAGAAATATATTATTAAAAATTCACACCACTTCTATAATTGAAAAGCTACTAAGAAATTTATATATTAAAATAAATAGTATAATATTAAAATATAATTAATTATAATTAAGTATATTTATATAAAATTCTTTAAGAAAGAGAATTTAGAATTAATTAATATTGCATGTATGGGTGTTTGTGAAGTTTTTTTAGTGAATAATAGGATTATTTGAGATGACTTGAGAAGTTATTTAATAAGAACTTAAGGCAAAATTTACATATAATTCAATTATAAGATAATTAATTATTATGGACTAGAATCAAGTATTATTAGTGGGGGTTTATTTTAATTCATTTATGTGGAGATGGCTTTTAATGGAGTGCCATTATGTGTAGGATTTGATACAACCAAGTTGATTGCAAATTTGGAATCAATTATCATAGTTTTTTCTTCTACAAAGTCTTAGCATTTTATCTAAGTGTTCAAGAAAAAATAAAAATTGAGCTTTAAATTTTTGTATATTATGCCTTGAATCAATTATCATGGTTTTATTTTCTAAAAAGATAATAACGTTGGCTTGTACACTCCAAAGTACTCTTCTAACATACTATAAAACTTGATGTATCTATGACATATTAACACCTTCTTTACTACCATTCCACTCCATTCAACCTACAACACCATACAAACTTATTACTCATCAAAGACTAATCTAGTTTTACAATAGTATACAAGCATCCCAAATAACTCTTCTACAAAATCAGATATTTGTTATACTACTCAGCTATATCACTAAGATCCTAGCCACACAAAAGATACTAGAAACCTACTCCTTATTTTTTACTTATTATTTAGAATATTTGTATAGAAGGTGTGTCATTAATGATACACAAAAAAAACATAAGTCATCTTTCTCAAATTCTTTGTGAGCCAAGAGCAATAATTTTTAAATCAAGAACAATGCCCTTTGTACTGGTGAAAAGAGTAATAGAAGAAAAATAGCTTATATATTATGCCTTGTATATTTTAGCAAGCACTGCAATCTCTTAATGAGCGTAGTCTTGAAGTTTGAATTGAAATTGAACAACATATCTAATTATACATAGAATACCTTATAATACATAAATTAAATATTATGATATTTTTTACTTTTAAAAATGAGTTTTTTCACATCTTTTTTTTTAACACTTTTATACTTAATTTTTAAAATTATTTTATATGCATTGATTATTTTTTCTTCATGTAATTCTTTTATAATATTATACATAAAATTATATACCTTTTATGAAAGTAAGCATATATAGTGGTCAAAAATTCACTATAGATTTTTTACAAATAGTTTGATTAAAAACAATGTATTTTTGGAAAGCTTAAAATATATAATCTATAGTTGAATTATATTTTTGAGATTTTAGAAATATCATATTAGAAATTCTATTCATCTCCAAATCAACACCTCTCTAAAAATTGACAATTTTGGATAATAACATACATTAGAAATACAACTTATAATCTCATACTAGCAACATTGAATAGAATCCATCTTTTTAAAGAGCCTCATTGCATGCCTTGATTATAGTATTATATGGTTAGATTCCTTCTTAAGGTTCATATTTTCAGAAACAAACTTTAAAAAAAAAAAACCAACAAAGATTAGATCTCTTCAAAAAACATGCTTAGAATAAAAGCGGTCAACTTGGCTTACTTTAGATGAACAAATACTTTATTTTTAAATAATAGTTTCTTCCAATTAGTATTTTTAAAATTTTCTTCAAAAATATTTATTCTTAAAAAACATATAATTCTATACTACTAATCTATGTTCTAGTCTATGACTTAGACTATAGGATATAGATGTAGTTAAGGAACAAATCAACACTTAATTCATAGAGATAGAAGGTTTTTATTTTTTTAACAAATCATAAGCGAGTCATCATCTTTGAAAGAATAATGTGTATATTTGAGCAATAATAACATCCTTGTCTATTTGCCTTATGTAACGAGTCATGTGGCATTACTAATCTTGAGTGTCTATTGGTATGAATGCAATTCAACAACCTTTGTAGTGCATGGCTTTGGAGTAAGTGACAATCACTTTTTCAACTTTCATCACAAATATATACCTACTATAATTGTTATCTAGGTAGATAGAATTATGTAAAAATAGATAAATTTTATAATACCTTCTAAAAAAGCTTCTTAAAAGCTTTTTAGATGCTATTTTGACTTTACATATATTTATAATTGATTGATAGGTTAGAAACTTAATCAACAAATTACTCATGTACCACATGTGTTGGTAGCTTGCAAAAAAAGCTAACTATATGGTGGCCATATAAAAAAACTTATCTTATAAGTTAAGATATTGTTACAAATATATAAGTGAAGAAGAGTCAAGAAGGTTCTAGGAGATTCTAGAAGATTTTAAGAAGGTTCTTATAGATCCTAGAAGATTCTAAAAGATTCTAATAGGCTCTAAGAAGTTTCTAAAAGATTCTAGTAGATTCTAAGAAATTTCTAGAAGGTCATAGGAGATCCTAGAAGGTTCTAGGAGGCTTTAGATGATTTAGGAAGTTGCCAAAGAAAGATCTTAGGCTTGTTTTGTTCTCAAGCCTCATGAAAACTTCTTGAGAAGCTTCTTAGGACCTAATATATACAGGAGTCAAGGCTAAGAAACTCAATCTTGACAACTCACTTCTTGTAATTTAGCTAGGACCTTCTTATCTTGTATTTGATTATTATTCTAATATTGAGCAAACTCCATTTCTTCATCTTGAATCCTTATCTTGTATATGATTCTTAATAGTTTGTCGAGACTCTATAAAATAATATTAGAAGCTTGGTCTTTTTTGACAAAGAGTGGATTATTACTCTTATTGGAAGTACTATAGTATTTTAGAGGTTACAGATGACTCTTCTTTAGACTAATATTGTTTTTTTTTTAATATTCTTTTGGTTTTTTTTCTTTATACCAAAGATCAAGTTTTTTCCTTTGAATGCTTGTATTTCTATGATTTTTTATAGTAAAAGGTAGAAAAATCAACATGATAGACTTAAAAGAAATCAAATTAGATTCTATTATTAATATTCTTAAAGCATTGAGGATCATGACAAAGACTTTGTTGAAGCAGAATAAAAAACTATATATAACCATACATAATGGTCAAGGAATTGGAGTGCCTCAACAACCACATCAAATAGCAATAGAGGTTCCAAATTCTCAAACGACTATGCCTACTTCAACAAATATGGGAGGTGCATCCACTCAAGGCAATGATCTGACAATAATAACAACAAAAGAACCAAAGATCAGCCTTTCGAAAAAGTTTGATGGCACCCCCTCAAAATTTTGTGGCTTTGTAAACCAAATATGACTAATCACCTTGTGTCAATGCCAACGATATTCCATTGAAGCATTTCATGTTGGTTTGGTTGGAACCTTGCTTTCATATTGAGTTTTATCTTGGTTTGTTCCATTATTTGAAAAAAAAAATTCCTATATTGCACAATTTTGAAACATTCTCAGTAGTATTTTTGGCAATATTTGT